CCTAATTTGGATGAAACTTGCAGGAATGGTAGCCCCTTCTGAGGGGCATGAAGCCTGCCAAGTTTCAAGGAGATAGGTACAGGGGGTTCGGGGAAACTGTACCCCAAAGTCTTGAAAGTAAAACTCATGTCATGTGTATGCATTAAACCACAGCTGGGTCAAAATTTCAGACATGCTAGCCCCTGCTGAGGCCACAAAGCCTGCCAAAATTCAAGGAGATAGGTGCAGGAGTTTGGGGGAAACTGTACCTCAAGCTGCAGACAAGCAAAACTCATGACATGGTTGTGTTAAGGCACAGCAAGGTGAAAGCTGCAGGCCTGCTAGCCCCTGCTGCAGCCATGAAGCCTTCCATCTGTCAAGAAGATAGGTGCAGGGGGGTTCTGGTGCCCTGCACCCCTAGCTGCTGACAGGCAAAACTCATGACATGGGTGCTTGTGCAGCTGACTGTGTCCATCTTGGGGCAGAGGGGAGTGAAAACTGCAGGCCTGCTACCCCTGCTGTGGCCACTATGTTGGCTACAAAGGAACAACTTGCAGGATCATCATAAAATTCTAATTTATTAGACGGATGCAAAAGTCAGATAATAAACCTTAGTCCCTGAGTGAATCATGATTGATTGCGTAACACAGTAGCTAGCTATAATAAGTTAATGAGCAAGGATTAACACCTATGGTTTATAGACTAACGAGAGGAAAGAATCAACACAGCCTTCCAACTTCACTGTTAAGGGTACAGAAGCCCTGGTTTGAACTAATGAGCACTGGAGACTGAATACCCGCCCGATCAACCTCTCTCAGAGCCCTATTCAACATGGCAGTGAATTCATCAAAATTCATCAATGGACTCCTGAGACTGCACATACTCACGGACGTGACCCCTGGGGCTGATAGCTGCCATCCAGCAGCCATCAAGGGGGACATCCCATGAGGTCAATGAACTGAGGCTTTGTGGCCTCAGAACTGGCTAGCATGCCTGCAGTTTTGCCCTAGCTGTGGCTTAACACATACACGTGACATGAGTTTTACTTTCAAGGTTTTGGGGTGCAGTTTCTCTGACCCCCCTGCACCTATCTCCTTCAAACATGGTAGGCTTCATGCCGTCAAAAGGGACTATCATTCCTGCATGTTTCATTAAAATCAGGCCAGAAATGACAAAGTTATAGGCTGTTTCATTACCTTCTCCATTATATCCTATGGGCAAAACGTTGGAACAGGGTTGGAAGGGTAAAATGTTTCAACGGAGCAGAATGGACCAGCTGTTTTGACTCAAAACAAAACTAAAAATGAAACACTGTTCTGTCAAAATGCTGGTCGAAATGGAACAGTGCCGTTTCGCACAGCCCTGATTTAAATGCCTGCTCAGGAGTGCTTAATCCGCAGAAGTTTACACCCAAATAAACTCAGTCTGGATCAAATGCATGTATAGACGCACCATTAGCAGCACGAACTGTGAAGCTGCAGCTATGTCACTGTAGTGACATGCTCCCCTGTTATAGCACATCACTACAGTGATATAGTGGTGAAAAAGAAACATGTACAGCAGGGACTGCACAGTATGGGCTGTTACTGCACTATCATTTAGGCTTCTACCTTCCAGCCTCCCCAGGAAGCACAACCAGCACTTCTCACACCCCGGTCCCGAATTCTAATATATTAAAACTTGACACCTTCTTTAATTTACTTCCTCTTTATTTCTTTCTAAATTCTTTTTCATCTTTTTTTACTACTTTTTATTTTATCCTTCAGTGGCTGACCTCCTTCATTTCACCACCCTTTCATTTCCACTTCCCATTTCATTACCTGCCCCCATTCCATTAATTCTCACCTCCCAACTTCATGCTCCTGTCTGTCTCCCTCCAACCCATCTCTCACACCCCCACACCTAGAACAAGGATAGAAGCCTGTCCTGGCTCACCAAGCCTGTAGTGGCAACTCACAGCTGTAACTCCTATTCAGTCCCCTACTCTCCAGCTCTCTAACGGCAAGTCCAAGTGGTGCAGGTGGGGAACAGTCAGAAAAGGTCTTTAGCCTTAAGATGTGACTGCTCCAAGCTTGAGGTAGCACTAATGAGCCACATCGACATGTGTGCTTTACTGCTAAGTAGACTAATTAGCTGCAGAGTAAAGCATCACCATCTACACATGCGACAGTATTAGGAATACAGTAAACTAATTAACAGCACAGTAAAATAGTACTTTCAGGAACACCACTATCTTATGGCAGTGTAACTAACTGTGATTAAACGCACACATAAATGAAGACTGCAGACATAAATTGCACCTAGTCAGCCCAGCCAGCAGGGGGCAAAATGCCTGCCTACCACCTAGCCACATGGCTCTGTACTTTCAGCACCCTCATGTCCTAGCCAGTCCCTCCACTGCCCAATTTTACCACCTGGAGCACAGGGCAGAATAGGGAAGGAGTAACCCTGGTGTAAACTGGTCTACCCCAGCTCAGATTGCTGCTGTCCCAGATGCATGTGTAGACACCGTACCTGGAAGTAGTTTACTCGGGCTCAAACTGCTCCAGAGCTTCTTGTATCATATTAATTGCACATGTAGATGCACCCACATGTCAGAACCCATTGTTCGTATGCCTATAGTACAGTGGAGGATTCCATAGTTTGATACAGAAGGCAGTCTGTCAATCATTCTGTAAGTAGGTCATGTAATTAGGTCACGAGGGGAAAACTCCAGAGCCCAGTGACTATATATTAATGACCTGGAAAAAGTTCCCACCAATTTGCAGCTTCTTTGCACGGTGCATTTCTTTTGCATCTAAGAAATGTTCGGTACAAAGAGTTCCCGCCATTTGTATTCTAATTCGAGCCCCATTATTGGCTTGCGTGAAATTATGCACACGTGGCGGCTAGCGATTGGCTTGCTAGCCGTATAAAAAGCTTGAGCACTTTCCGCCCAAGTTGGAGAACTCCACATACATCTCATGGAGAGCTCTGAGCACGCTGTGGAGCCTAGCAAACTCCACGTGCGTCTTAGAGAAGAATTTAGGGGCCTGATCAACCTCTAATCGCTCCCCGTCACCAACCCAAGGGGGCCTAGCACACCCCTACCCGAGACGTAAGACGACTGCCGGCCCGAATACCCCGAACACCCCGACACATTTGCAGACCGACCAAACCAACTTTGTAATTTCTGCCCGACCCAAGTTTTGTTTACAACTGTAATTGAAGCAAGTTTCTGACCTGCACTGTACGAGCAGTGTAAGTAAACAATCTTTTGTTCAATCCAAATGCTTGAGTACCTGATTCCACTCCGAGCGTCACAAGTACCCACCCGCCGATTAGGGCTCCTAAAGCCCCGAACCCCGCGCCGCGGCTCTCGGCGACGACACCACATTGATCAACATTTGAGCAGTTCAATGTGCAAAGTGTAACAAGACCATTACTTTATATTATATTCACGTACTGGGGCTGAAATGCTATTTTATCACTAAAGAACATTAAGCTGTTCATTCTGGTCTCAAGCTTGTCTTTCTCCTTCAGGAAAGCAAGTCAGGTTCCACCTCTTTGGCAGGTAGGTCTCCGCTTCCCTCATATTGCAGTTTGTTGGGTGCCTGGACTCTTTCTACTGTCTGTCAGCGTATGCAAATTTAAACCACTAAACTGCAGTTCTCTGAGAATATTTCTTGGATTAGTCTTGATTTCTGTTTTAATCTGGGTGGGTGGAGATATGGCCAGATACCAATGAATTAAAGGTGTTTTCCTCTCTGCCTCCTTCTCCCACTTTCTCTTCTCTTTGCTTAATGATTTGAGAGAGCGCAGCAAAGGCATATCTAGCTATTTTGTGCTCTGAGAAGAGCAAGGGCATAGGGAAGAGGGTTGTGCCAAGCTCAGGAGAACAGGGATTGGGGCTGAGAAGTCTTCCCTGCCACAGGGGCTGGAAGCTTCCCCCTTGGAGTTGAGAAGTCTTACCTGCCACAGGGGCTGGAAGCTTCCCCCTTGGGGAGCAGAGACAGAGTCCCCTTGTCAACCTCACTCCCCCTTCACTGTGGGAGATGCTGCTGCTGCAAAGCTATCAGTTAAATCTCTCACAGTTGCTGCTGACTTGTTTGTGAAATGTGAGTGTAAAACCCTTAATTCCATGGCAGCTGTAAGAAGGTTAATGCCATAGCTGCTGGACACACAGCAGGGAGATTGGGGCCATGTCTATATGAGACACTGACTGCACAGTAGCTAATTACTATTGCAAAGTAGAATCACGTGTCACGAAGCATGATGCGATGCTACTGCACAGTAGTAATGAGTTACTGCACAGCTAGCATCACCTAAAAGCTGTTCAGTAATGCTGCTACACAGTAACTACACAATAACTTATACAAGTACTAAATGACTGCATAGTGACCACTGTGCAGTCAGCATCTTGTGTAGATGTGGCCAGTGAACAGAAGAGAGAACCCCTGCCTCTGGTTTGTATGGCCACAACTAACAGTGCCTGGGTGAGCCTGGACCAAACACACTAGCACCTGCCACTCCTCTAGCACCCCACTGCCTCCATTCTGGCACCCTCCCATAGTCAGTACCCAGGGCTTATTCTCTGGTCACCCAGCTCTTGTTGCATGACTACTGCATAGATTGCATGCTGTGTTGCAGCTTCTACCATGGCATTTCTTTATGTTCTGCCTTCCTCTTTTCCTTTTCTCGCCTTTTTTTTTCAGTGGAATGCCCTTCAGAAAGAACAAATGTGATATTATTCTAATGCTATCTACAGAATCTGAGAAGTGCACAAAAGTGGAAATGGACATGCCTGAGATTGTGACTTGTAGTTTATTCACATACTTCCTAAAGTCAGGAGGAGGAATCCCGATAAAGACAGAACTTATCAACTGTGTATTAGAAATAACATTTGTTATCTTTCAATTAGAAAAAAAATGTGCCAACACAAAGCAACCATGATTTCCTCCCAAAATAAGTCGTGAAAGCAGTAGGTGCCTTGTACTTATCTGTGGCCCATTTTCTCACCTGTATCCCTCATACCTCTGCAGGATGCATTTGTGGCTTTCCACCCTGACAAGGCACTGGTGAGAAAGTACATGAGGTCACTACTGATCGGGGAGCTGGCGCCAGATCAACCTAGCTTTGAGCCCCACAAAAACGTGAGTGTCCTGTGGAATGGAAGAAGGTTGGGATTCCAAGAGGGGAGGAGCAGGGGCAGTTTTTCTGGGTTTTAGTTCACTTCCTGGCTTCCAGGATTCTCAACTGGAGCACAAAGAACTTTGCTCGGTGGTTCTAGGGTGTCTGCTGTGGGAGAGGAGCCCTTTGGATTAGTACTTTTCCCTGCCTTACAACAAACTTGACAGTGTGACTGTTACCCCCCTGGGTAGCTGAAAGCATCAGCCATATCAACTGGCCAGTAGGCTTGTGTGAAGCAGCAAGTATTTGCTTTGAATTCAGCCAATTCGGAGGGACAGTGATTCGATTCAGTGACTCAAATCACTGTCCCGATTCCCTTCAGCCAATTTGGATTTGGAGATTAGGTGCTAATTCAAAGATTTGGCCATAGACAATAATGGGGAATCACTAAAATACGTATAACTTTGTCAATTTTTTTTGTAGATTTGGATGAAAACAGAAGGGATGGTAGCCCCTTCTAAGGGAATAAAGATTGCCAGGTTTCAAGGAGATAGGTGCAGGGATTTCTGTGAAAGTGCACCTCAAACTGTTGAAAGCAAAACTTGTATCACTTGTGTGTGGGAGGAAAGATCGCAGTCACTGGCCAGCTACAGATGTCAATATCAGAGCAGTTAGATGTCAATATCAGACCAGTCTTCCCTCCCCCCCCCCAGCCTTTTCCATATATGGAAGATCACCCCACTCCCCTCCCTCTTGTCAGTTTCTATTTGCTGCAAGCCTTCTGAATCTCCAAATCTCTCTGAATTGATTCAGAAGCTTCCAATTCGATTTGAACCTTTTAATGGGTTTCCCGATTCAATTCAGATTCGGAGATTCGGCCACCGAATTGGCTACTGAACCTTTGTACAGCTGGTACAAAGGTCTGCTGGTGTGTGATACTGGTGTGTGAAACATGCCCTATTTGATTTGGATTCAGACCAAATCAGGGACAGTGATTCGATTCGTTGATTTGGATCACTGCCCCGATTCAATTTGGCCGAATCCAAATCTGAAGATTCGATGCTGATTCAGAGAATCAGTGATTTGGACATAGACACAGCTTTAAATGTGTTTTCTACATACCTCGAAGTGCCAGGCACAGCTCATGAATGCTGCAATGGTAGGGCAGATGGTGTGTCCGACAGGAGCACGGTGTGGGGGCCCCCAGGTGCTCAGTGGCAAACCTGGAAGTGGACAAGAAGTACTGCCAGTCCACATCCAGGTCTGCTGGGGAGTGTGCGGGCCCTCTCCCCCCCCCCCCCCCCTGTGGCACCCCCTGGCTCGGTGATCGGCCACAGGGGGACCCTGCATGCCCCCCCAGACCCAGGAGACACTAGTCACTGAGCTGGGGGGTGTGGGGGAGGGGACCCACACACTCTCCGGTGGACCTGGAAGCGGACCAGAAATGCTTCTGGTCCACTTCCGGGTCTGCTGCCGAGTGCAATGGGGAACCCCCTGCACTTCTGTGGGACACTCCATCTGCCCTAGCATCACAGCATTCACAAGCTGCCTGCTACCTAGAGATATGTAGAAACAAAATTTAAAGCTGTCTCTATGTCCAAATCTCCGAATCTTTCTGAATCTCTCTGAATCAATTTAGAGGGTTCCGATTTGATTAGGAGAGATTAAAGGGTCCTCTGATTTGATTTGGATTCGGAGATTCAGTCACCAAACCAGGCCAAATCGCCGTCGAATCAAATCAGGGACCAAAGCTTCACACAGCCCTACTGGCCAGTGTCACAGTGATACCCTGGGAAAACAGAATGGATCAGATATATACTTTCACTCAGTCTCTATCCACAGTCTCTAAGGGGAGCAGAATCTATTGGCTTATACAATAGCAAGCAGAGAAATTCCCCTGCCTCCTGAGGCTACTCTGCTGCACCCCCACAGCTTAGTGTATGGAATCAGACTATCAGAAGCAAATAGGGACTTCAAAAGATTACTTAATCCAACCTCCTGCTCATGGTAGGAACATTCTTGTTTGAAACATCCCAGACATATTTTGCCTAACCTGCACTTAAAAGCTTCTAATGATGAAGAGTCCACAACCACAATAGGGAATCTGTTCCAAGGATCAACCACTGCTACAGTTAGAAATTTAGAAATTCTTCATATGGAACAATAAGCCCATTTCAACTTCTATCCCTCCTGGTCGCTATCTCATTTACAACACCCTTTCTCTGTTAGAATTTTGATATGAAATCCTGTCTTATTCTTTCCTAGATTGAATATTCACAGCTTTTTTCCCCGTTTCCTCATGTGTCATGTTTTTTATACCACTAAACAGTTTTGTTGCTTCCTTCCTTTCCTATCTGTCTCAAACTTTCCTACCCCTGGTACCTAAAACTGGGCCAGTACTTCAAGTAGGGCCTCTACCAGTGCTCTGTAGAATAGAAGGATTCCTTCCTGTGGTTAATTCAAACCATTATCTCAACTAATAGAGGTATTTCAAATCCTAATGTTATCCTGTAAAGTGTTTGCTGACGTACCCAGGTTGGTGTCAACTGCAAATTTAACAAATGGACACTTAATTCCATCCTCCCAGTCTCGACCTCAGCCTGCCTGTGTCTTGCACCCCAGCCCCTGACAAGGCTCAAAAGCTGGCATGCCCTTCAGGAACCTTTGTTTGGCCTCCTTACCACCCCTACAGTCACCACCTGGCCCTCCAGTATAAACTAAAACATAAATCCAAGCAACCACTTCAAACAAAAAGACTCAAAGCCCTTGTTGGGGCCACCATGCAGATGCCAGAGCCCTTTCCTCACTTATTGGTGCTCCTAGCCCTTGAGAGTATCTGACCAAGCCTGCAGCTTCTGCATCTGGCTGGCCTGAGCTAGCAGAAGCTCTTCTCCTTACAGGCAGCATCTACACATGCAATTAATGCAATTAAAAAACCTCCCTTTTCTGCATCCTCTGTCACAAGGTTAAACTCCCTTTTCTGCATCCTCTGTCACAAGGTTGCCTCCCCCATTCAGTAAGGGACCCACACTTTCCCTGAAACTCCTCTTGCTACCAACATACTTGTAGAAACTCTTCTTGTTACCCTTTACATCCCTTACTAGCTGCAACTCTAACTCCGCTTTGGCCTTCCTGACTTCATCCCTCCATGCCCAAGAAGTGCTCTTATATTCTTCCCTAGTTACTTGTCCAAGGTTCCACTTCCTATAAGCTTCTTTTTTGTCATTTAGCCTGCTGA